AACGGTGGTTCCCCAGAAGGGAATAGTTGGTTTGTAGGGTGGAGTTTATGGTTTTGTACCTGTCCGAGGTCCCACGCCTCCTGAAACCTCACCCTCTCCAGGCTTGTGCTCTGAAGCCCTGACTGCTACGTCACATTGGCTGTCATATGGGGGCCACCTCAGCAGCATATAAGGATACAGAGCCCACCATTTTCTCCAGAGGAACTGATCTCTGCCATCTGGAAAGCAGTTGTAATTCTGAGTGATCTCCAGCCCTCACCTGGAGATTGGACACATTTTACCTCAGAACAGCAAAACTGTTTAGAATGCTAGTCACACACCTGCAGCCTCTCCCATGCTCTGAAGCCCTGACTGCTACATCACATTGGCTGTCATACGGGGGCCACCTCAGCAGCATATAAGGATACAGAGCCCACCATTTTCTCCAGAGGAACTGATCTCTGCCATCTGGAAAGCAGTTGTAATTCTGAGTGATCTCCAGCCCTCACCTGGAGATTGGACACATTTTACCTCAGAACAGCAAACTGTTTAGAATGTTAGAGGCAAAAGCCAATCAAGTCGCATATGCAAACGACCTCTGTGTTCCGAGGCAAAGGCCAATGAGGCTGCATATGCAAATAACCTCTGTGTTCTGACTGGCTATGGGGGGGAGAGGAACAGCAAAATGTTTAGAATGTTGGAGGCAGGACTCAGGCAAAGCAGCCAGTGGATAGGGAGACCCTCTGAATGACAGATCAGAGAGCGAACTGATTTTGGAGCATGTGGAATGTTCTAAAGAAGTGCCACCACCATTCGGAGGACAGGTCAAACGGTGGCTCAATGGAGCCCTCCAGATTCAGTGGCAGCGCACCATATTCGGGGGGCAAGGATGATGGGGAATGCTGTTGCTTTCAGTGAAGAAGAGATTGGATTTATACCCCGCCTTTCACTTGGAGTCTCGGAGTGGCTTACAATCTCCTTGATCCAAGGTCACCCAGCTGGCTGCATGTGGAGGACCAGGGAATCCAGCCTGGTTCTCTCAGATTAGAGCCCGTGCACTTAACCACTACACCGAACTGGCTGGCGGGGCTTCGCTGAAGCATCTAGATGACCTCTGCAGGAAACAGGATGGGGGATTAAATGGACCTTTGGTCTGGTCCAGAAGGGATTTTCTAGTGTTCCTGAGTGCCTCATTCATTCATACAGCGAAGAGCACTCATACACAGAGGACTTGGCAGAGCCGTCTTCTTGTTCTTCCTTCCCACTTCCACCCCTTGAGCTCATCCCTGTTTCTTGTGCCGAGCATTTCTAGGACATCATTTTTTTTTTTAACATTAGCTCATCCGGTTTATTAAGGCGACAGACACAGAAATGACTGGAGGGTGAGCCTCACAATGGCATCGTCTTCCACTTGCTAAGCCATTTAAGAACCCAGCACTTTCGCCCTGAAACCGGCTTCACCCCAGGGAAATCAGCAATGCCAAGCTGGTTTAAGCACACAGCGTCTCATTCGAGCAGTCGGCAGATTTGTTTTACAAGCACCCAAGGTGGAAAGAGACTCCCACGTTTATAGTTTACTGCTGATGCAAGAAATGGGGTGGGTAGGGAGGTGAGCGTTTTTTTTAAATATCAAGGGCACAATTCAGCAGAAAACCTTGCAGTGCAAGCTCTGTTGCAAGGAATGGAGCCCGCCCAAGAGCTCAACGGTGCTCCTGTGCAGCTCCCTTTCATCTCAATGGAAAGTGCGCAGCAGACGTTTCTACCGCATTGGGCCTTCTGATTTCTGCACTACTGGAGGCTCCGTTGATGCAGTGCAATGTTCTTGTGCTTGTCGGGAAACAACACGAGGGCTTTGTGTCACACATGCGATGGGATTTTTTTTTGCTTTTTCAGTCACAGGCTGGCTCAGACATGTACCAAGAGCCAGTTTAGTGTGAGTGCCTGTTTGGTGTAGTGGTTAAGAGTGGCATGACCCTAATCAGGAGAACCGGGTTTGATTCCCCACTCCTCCTCCACATGAAGCCAGCTGGGTGACCTTGGGGCAGTCACAGTTCTCTCATGGCTCTCTCAGCCCCAACTGCCTCACAGGGTGTCTGTTGTGGGGAGAGGAAGGGAAGGTGATTGTAGGCCGCTCTGAGACTCCAAAAGAAGGACGGCGTATAAATCCAGCTCTTCTTCTTTTCTGTTTGTGACCAAAGAACATAGGGAGAAATAGCTTCACCCCCTACCCCAGTTTTCACATCTGCCACTCCATGAAGCCACTATTGGCTCTTAACACTATGTGTCAACATGTGCATTACATTACTTTTTTTTTTTGTTCAGTCGCACAGTCGAGTCTGACTCTTCGCGACCCCATGGACCAGATCCCGCCAGGCCCTCCTGTCTTCCTCTGTCCTCTGAAGTTTGCTCAATTTCATGTTAGTTGCATCGATGACACTGTCTATCCATCTCATCCTTTGCCGTCCCCGTCTTCTTTGACCTTCAATCTTTCCCAGCATCAGGGTCTTCTCCAGTGATTGCTCCCTTCTCATTTGGTGGCCAAAGTATTTGAGCTTCAGTTTCATTATCTGGCCTTCCATTACTTACCTGGTGGTACATATGTTTCACAACAGAGCCAACAGTGGCTCTATGTGGCAGTTTGCAGATGCAAAAAACAGAGTGTGTGTATGCATGTGTGTGTGTGCGTATGTGTGTGAGGGGAGATACAGCCACTTCTCCCTGTGTGTCGTAATTGCAAGCAGAAAAGAGCTTCATGCGTGCCTGGGAGCCACAAAACTCTGATCGCTCATGTGATACAAAGTTCTTATGTTGTTCCCCAATAAACACGAGGGCTTTGTAACATGGAGATGGGAGTTTCAAGCAGACAGAGCAGCTAGAACATTTATGTTTTATCTTGGCCTAGGCAAGGAAAGACAGGTGTCTAAATTAGACTGCAATCCCATGCCTATATACTGGGGAATAAGCTTTGTTAAACATATTGGGCCTTTTGTCCTAATAGACATGCACGAGACTGAGCATGAAACGTCATTTCTTTTTTTGCTGTCAAGTTGCAGCTGACTTATGGCGATCCCGTAGGGTTTTCAAGGCAAGAGAGGTTCAGAGGTGGTTTGCCACTGCCTGCCTGTGTGTAGCGACCCTGGTATTCCTTGGTGGTCTCCCATCCAAATACTGGCCAAGGCTGACCCTGCTTAGCTTCTGAGATCTGGGCAATGTTCCCTCTAAGCTGTGGAGTCTTGTGAGCAAAAATTCTACTTTGTGAGCTACTGGCATTAAAGTTGTGAGTGAGCAATTTGGCCGCTGCATAAATTAGTTTGCTCTGGAGCCATCCCTTCCTGAGCTAAGACAAAAATGTGTGAGCTAGAGGCTAAAAACCTGTGAGCTAGCTCACACTAACTCAGTTTAGAGGAAACACTGGTCCTGGGTATGGATTCTTGCTTTGGAAGTTTAACACAATCAGTGGGCCAGAAGGATTTTAGTTTTTTTTAAGGTAGACCTTGCAAAACCAGTTTTTCCACTTGAGTCTAGGTGACTCCAGAGCTCAGGACAGACTGTGAACCGAGCAAGAGAAGGGAGCCAAACTAGTACTCTTTTATATGAAGACTGCATGCTCTCATGCGGAGTTATTCAAGGCTGTTGATGGGAGGAAGGCTCGGAAAACCTGCCCCAGAAAATCAGTTACGGAGTAGAGACAAGGGCACGTGGTGGGTTAGAAGCTCAGAGGATGTCTTGCCCACCGTTTCGGCAACAAAATATCCTATAGGACAGAATTCTCTCTCATTAGACTCTCTTTTTTCAGAGATCCCTGCTTTCAAAAAATAAGAGACTTAAATCCCATTAAAATAAGGCAAAGAGCTAGATTTAACGGGAGCGCTTTGCATATATGTAGAGACTCTCTTAATACAAAAACAGCAGAAGACAAATAGTCACTCTGGGACCGCAGCAGTGAGGCATCAGTTTGGCTTTTGCCAGCAGCCAAGGCCTGACTGGGGAGGGAAGGCGGCACGGTACAGCCTGATCTCGTCAGATCTCGGAAGCTAAGCAGGGTCAGTAGTTGGATGGGAGACCACCAAGGAAGACTGCGTAGAGGAAGAAGAGTTGGTTTTTATACCCCGCTTTCTCCACCTGAAGGGAGTTTCAAAGACGCTTACACCACGGGCACCTTGAGAAGTAGGTGGGGCTGAAAGAGTTCAGAGAGAACTGTGAGTGGCCCGAGGGCACCCAGCAGGCTTCATGTGGAGGAGTGGGGAACCAAACCCGGTTCTCCAGATTAGAGTCTGCCACTCTTAACCACTACACCACGCTGGCAATGCCCAACCACCTCTGTTCCTCCCTGACTGGAGGGATGATTGAAAGGCACGCCCCCCCCCTCTCTGCCAGGAAGATCAGTACCTCAAGGGAAAGATTAGCCTTGCTCCAGCCACTGGCCAGAGAACATGCAGCCACGGGAACTTGATTCCCTTCTCCCCGCCAGGAAGAATTCAGCTGTAATAGCCAGTTGCCCTGGAACGGCGGAAGCGCACAGAAGGACTCTCTACTCTATGACACTAGGCAGAGGATGGAGGGCGCTGGGTAGGTTTTTGGTCCCCCCCCCCATTGTTTTAATCTATCGTAAAGGAACCTGGATATCACAGGGCAGAAAAGCAGGAGCGTAAACCTTATAGTTGGACTATAATGAAGGCCGAGCGCTGAAGAATAGATTCTTTTGAACTATGGTGCTGGAGAAGACTCTTGAGAGTCCCTTGGACTGCAAGAAGATCAAATCAGTCAATCCTAAAGGAAATCAACCCTGACTGTTCCCTGGAAGGCCAGATAATGAAACTGAAGCTCAAATACTTTGGCCACCAAATGAGAAGGGAGCACTCCCTGGAGAAGACCCTGATGCTGGGAAAGATTGAAGGTCAAAGAAGACGGAAACGGCAAAGGATGAGATGGTTAGACAGTGTCAGAGATGCAACAAACATGAAATTGAGCCAACTTCAGAGGACGGCGGAAGACAGGAGGGCCTGGCGGGAGCTGGTCCATGGGGTCACGAAGAGTCGGACTCGACTGTGCGACTGAACAACAACAAAACCTCTAAAACAAATAAGGTACTAACAAAGTGAATCCATTCAGAAAGCCCCAGCACTTCTGCATCAATAATTTCTATTCCATTCCGCCAGAGCTGAGCCAGTAATGTAAAAGGATGTTACTGTTACTTCCGTTTTATACATGATGGCTAGTTTTAATTATTTGGATTGCTGGCCACTCTGAGTGCTCTTAAAGAAGAACAGTTGATCAAAATCTCTTAAAAAACAGAGGCCGCAAAAGTGAACCAGGCAAAAGTCTGCCAAAGTGGTTACCGTTGTTTGCCGCAGCGAGCAAAGACGGCAAGGTCCACTTTGGATAAGTTGACAGCCTCAGCCAAGGAATCCGTGTTAGCCTCAAATATAAATCCCACCTGATGGATTTTGACAGCCGTAACTTAAAACTCAAAAGTTCTGCATTTATATAGTTTTGTTTTGTTTTGCTGAACGGGGGAAAGCGCTCGTCTTCGCCTGAGGTTGAAAGTGTTCCTGGGTGGCTAAAGGGGGCCACGAGGAGAAAACACACCCTTCTCCTCGCGCACCTTTATAATGCTCCTAAGACGTTTCTGGCAAATTGGCAGGAGAAGCGCATGTAACTCATAATTGGTGATTCAAATGCAATCAAGAACAAATAAATTCCTGTTCAAATCTTATTATTCATAGACTGAACTTGCTTTTGAGGCAGAATTACCTTCCTTGGGCCCCAGCCAAGCATAAACACATATTAAATCTTTATGTTAATCATACGCCTCAAACGGGCTTCGTCCCACCATGTTGCTGATTTGAGGATGCAGCACTTTTTTTTTTTTTTTTAAAGGAGCCTACTCAGATTTTAGTGGAATTTCTGACACGGCTACTCTGAAGGTTTGCACATGGAGCCATGGACGTTTTTGTCTGGTGAAGACAGCAAGTCAAGGATCGCAGACTGAAGAGTATGACATCAAATCTGCATTAAAAAAAACCCCTCTAAATGAAAGAATCTCAATACTACCGTGTGTGTGTGCCGTGCAAATGAGGGGGACCCATGCTTAGACTAGGGTTGCCAGCTCTGGGTTCTGGGTTGGGAAATAAGTGGAGATTAGGGGTGTGGGGCCCAGAGAAGGTGGGGCTCAGGGAGGGACCTCAGCAGGGTCTAATGCCACAGGGTCCACCCTCCGAAGCAGCCATTTTAAGGAATTGACGTTGGTGAAAGCGGGAGATCTCCAGGTGCCACCTAGAGGTAGGCAACGCTAGCTTGGACCCATGATTGCTGTTAAAAACCTAAGGCTCTCTAGGCATCGTGGCACAGATACAGAGGGTCTACATTCACAATACAAGAGGAGCCCTGCTGGGTCAAACCGATGATGCACCTGGGCTGGAATCTTGCTTCGTGTAGCAGCCATCCAAATTTATTTATTTATTTTATACCCTGCCCTCCCCGCAAGCGGGCTCTGGAAGGCCTATAACCAACCATCAAGCAAAAAGGTCCACGTCGTTATTAACTCCCAATAACAGGTATTCACAGATATTCTGCCTCTGAACAGGGAAGCTTCAATTACTCACCATGGCTAACTACCATCCCCATTACTATATCCTGTGGTGGTGAGTTCCACACGTTAATTAAGAGTAGTATGAACCTGCTGCCCATCAGTTTTGTTGGTTCCCCTGGGGTGTTGTAGAAGAGGCAGAAAAAGTTCTATCCCCTTTCTTTACTTCATGCATAAGTCTACAGAACCCCGTCATGCCCTACCCACTGTTAGTTATCTTTCTTCCTCAACTGAAAAGCCCTACAGGCTTTAGCCTCTTCACCTCTTTCGATTCCGGCAGCAGGATATGCAACGGGGTTATCAGCTGCAAATATTCAAATGTCAGCTGGAGAGCCATGTGAAGAAAATTCCATTAGCGGCATCTAAGCTTCATTATGTTCTTGGCAGACCTAATTAGCAGACACAAAGAATTCCTTGTGCCTCTTCTTGAGAAGTTATTTTACGTAGATGATGATATTTCCACATTTTGGACCCACCTAATGCATGAAATGAGAACATGCCAAATATTATCCCTTGCTCCAGAGACACGGCAACACCCCCCCCAAAAAAAAAAAAGGAAAGGAAGAAACATCTCCTACCTCTTCTAAGTCTTTGCCTGGCATAGCCATTAACCAACGTCTCTCTGCCACCTGCAAGAGGGAGCATTTGCAGAACCCAGCATGGTCTGTGAAAACAGAGTCTGTAACATCCTTCCTTCCTTCCGCCAAGTCCCACAAGCAGACATTTTGATCACGACCCTGGCTTTAAGAATGAACATTATACATCAGATAACTAAACCCCCATACCTTAACTTTTGTACCTTCTATTTTCCTTTCCTTTCCTTTCATTTATTAGCTTCATTGACCAGAGGTCTTAAGCCAAACGTACAAACAGTTACTATAAAACACATTACATATCATTACAAGATAGTTTTATTGTAAAAATGTTTGGTCTAAATTAATAAACATACTTATAAACAATATTAATATACAACATTTTATAAACTTCCATAAACTCTATAAAATCCCATGATATTATGGAAATTAATTGTAAAAATTTTAAAATTTGTATACATAAAACTACCTACAGCATTTCAAAGCTGCTTTAAAATAGCACTATCGATACATATTTTGCCACCAAGCGAGTCGTTTCAGGGTCCTCATCTGCTAGCAGTATGGTTATTATCACCCAAGGTTCCATAGGGAAGTGATGTCTATGTAAAATAGGAGTAATCCAACAGGATCTGGCGTCAATCCACTGGTGGCAAAATAACAAAAGATGATCTAAGGCCTCTATTGCACCTGATCCACAATCACATGATCTATTTGAATACTGTTTTTTAGCAAAACAGCCACTTAGCTCTGCAGTACCTTCTACTTTATAGCAGACCCCACCATGTCAAAGTACCGAATACCGCATGCCACGATGCAAATGTATTTTATGGGCTTAACAGTAGGGCAGATAACTGGTCCACCTGGATCACTACTGTCCACTTTGACAGTCTTAGAAAGGTTTCTCCCTAGCATCTGCTACCCGAGATCCTATTACTAGAGATGCCAGGGGTTGAAGCCAGGACCTTGTGTATGCAAAGCAAGTGAGTCACAGTTCCTTCTTAAACGATGCTCCCGTTTTATCCAGTCATCTGTTTATCCAGCTTCCTTCCATTAAGATACAGGAAACCGGATTACATTTTCTTATTTGCCCAACAAAGAAAAATTGATCTTGAAATTATTTAAAAGGTTAAAGCAGACTGATAAGGTTGTTGCAAAGATGAATCAAATGTCGGAGGAGGAGGAGATTGGATTTATACCCCGTCCTTCACTTGGAGTCTCAGAGTGGTTTACAAACTCCTTTCCCTTCCCCTCCCCACAACAGGCACCCTGTGAGGTAGGTGGGACTGAGAGAGCTCTGAGAGAACTGTCCTTCAGAGAACAGCTCTGAAAGAACTTATGACTGACCCAAGGTCATCCAGCAGCTGCGAGTGGAGGAGTGGGGAATCAAACCCGGTTCTCCCAGATTAAAGTCTGCGCACTTAACCACTACACCAAACCAGCATCCGGGCACACCTGCTTTGCAGAACAAGGTTCTAAGACCACAACAACAGAAAGAGATTTTATCAATTGATACACTCCGTGGACTGCAGGACCCATTGCTAGAAATCAGTTCCACAAAGCTCTTGAGACCCAGCGGCTTTGGAAAGTGCTTGAAGCCTGCTGATGTTTTTATGGTCATTTAATATTCTTACAACAGAAGGTAAAATTGGCAGCCTGGGCCAGTGAAAGTCCTAAACTGCAACCTATGTCTTACAGGAAGGAAGGAAGGAAGGAAGGAAGGAAGGAAGGAAGGAAGGAAGGACGGACTGGTTTGTTTGCTTTTTATTTTGCCCTCCTGGGATAGCAAAGTCTCCCAGAGAAATATAATGCATGATCTAGAGACAGAAAGAGGGAAGAAAAAAGCAAAGCAGGAAAGCGGAGCAGACAGAAGAAAGCAGGGAGAAGAAGGAAGGAAGGAAGGAAGGAAGGAATGGTTTGCTTTTTATTTTGCCCTCCTGGGATAGCAAAGTCTCCCAGAGAAATATAATGCATGAAATGGCAATGAATCATGGCTAGATAAAGCTATGTGGAAGTGGAAAGTATCATCAAGTTGCAGCGAACTTATAGCAACCCCCTGGGGTTTTCAAGTCAAGAGACATTCAGAGGAGTTTTGCCATCACCTGTCTCTGCATAGCAACCCTGGACATCCTTGGTGGTCTCCCATCCAAATACTAACCAGGGATGACCCTGCTTAGCTTCTGAGATCTGATGAGATTGGGCTAGCCTGGGCCATCCAGGTCAGGGCAAAGATGTGTAGGCTGCTGCAAGAAGTTAAAAATGTGGACCAGTTCATTTCACCTCTGATTCCCAAATGGAAAATGGTTGAAGGAAAACCACATATACAGGTAACAACAAGTGTGCTTATGGAGCTTACTGGCACTAGGTAGTGACAGCCACTTCCTGGAATGATCCTCCTGGTTAAGTATTTCTTTGCTCCACACAGATTAGGGATCCAGTAAAGCTCTCTCTCTCTCTCTCTCTCTCTCTCTCTCTCTCTCTCTCTTTCTTCCTCTCTATTTCTCTCTCTCTGTCTCTCTCTCTCTCTCTCTCTCTCTCTCTCTCTCTCTCTCTCTCTCTCTCTCGTTTTGCATTTCCACAAAGGAAAGATGGCAAGAAAGATTCTGAAATGACTTGAGGGATGGAAAGTTAAGGGACCCTGCATGGAGAGAACTGCAGCCCCGTAAGATTACAGGTATTTCCAGACAGGCATTTTCATGGGGTAGCATACGTGAGATGAAAAACGTATAATTATGTTGACAATTCAGATTTAATACGAGTCTTCTGGGGTGCTAATTGTGGTTATGCAGACGACAACAAATATAAATGCTAATGTGGTCTGCTGCAGAAGATGTCTTTTCTCGATAAACATGTCAAAACATCTCCAAATCAGACTGATGCGCTGGCAATCTGCTCCAACGGAAGGCGGAACATCCAGCCAGTCAAAGCAACAACAAACCTTGTGGCATCTTAAAGAGGATCACAGATTGACTGCAGCGGAAGCTTTTAGGGAATAGAGTCCACTACCGTCAGGTGCGCAAAATATCATCCTCAACTGATGGACTGTTTGTTTGTTTTAACAATGCATTCCCCACCTTTCAATCAAATGGCATCCGATGACGCAAGAAATCTAGTTCCAGACAGAGCAGAGCTCCTGTCTCGTCTCTTGACGGTGGAGCGCTTTGGATGTCAGAAATCAAACACCAACTTCGATTCAAACGCCACTGCCGAATTTCAGATCCAAATGAGCCCGTTCAGCAGTCTGGCTGATTGCCTTAACATTACACATTTGCTGCTTAGCCGTAACACAGATAACATTTGTTTTCGTTTGCTCTCAGGTCACTGTCGACTTATGGCAACCCCAGAGGGGTTTCAAGGCAAGAGATGTTCAGAGGTGGTTTGCCATGGCCTGATCTGCATAGTGTCCCTGCCGTTCCTTGGTGGTCTCACATCTAAGTACTAACGACCCTCCTTGGCATCTGAGATGGGGCTAGCCTGGATTATCTAGGTCATGGCACCTACCGATAGCTACCTAATCCTAGTAACACCTGCCAGAGATATGCGAGCCCAGCAAAAACTGGAAAGCCACCATAAGGCTCGTGATAAGATGCTACCAGTGTTCCCTCTAAGCTGAGTGAGTGTGAGCTAGCTCACAGTTTTTTAGCCTCTGGCTCGCACATTTTTGTCTTAGCTCAGGAAGGACGGCGCCAGAGCAAACTGATGTATGCCGTAGCCAAATCGCTCACTCACGACTTTAATGCCAGCAGCTCACAAAGTAGAATATTTGCTCACAAGACTCCACAGCGTAGAGGGAGCACTGGATGCCACATAGGGATTCAAGCAGATCAGACACGCAATGTCATATTTTAACCCTTCGGGAGAGGTAAGCTTTTCTTTCCTGTGCAGCGGTCTGTTGTGCCTGTACTATAACAGATCTACGTATAGCACCCTGCTTCTGTATGCAGAAAGCTGTTGGTGGCACGATGACCTATATACATGGGTAAGTACCATTATCCTGAGGGGGCTTTAAACAAGTTTTTTCTTTCTGCATAGGCCAGTACCTGTCTCATTGCAAATCTGCATCTACATGGATTTCCAGAACCTCTAGAGCAAGAATTTTTACAAGCATGTCATTTACCAACCTAAGAAGTGTATTTCGGTTGCCTAAAGTTTTCACCCAAAGCACTGATTTTCCACCATGACCGTTCAGCATTCTATCCATCCTGTGTGTCTTTATGTTCCAGATGTGGATCTGCCCATCCGAAGACCTAACACAAAACAAAACAAAAGAAATAAAAAGGAGTTTCTTCAGGAATACGTCTTGCTGCTCTTGCAACTGTGCGATCCTAAGCAGAGTTATACCCTTCTAAGCCCATTGATTACAATGGACTTAGAAGGGTGTAATTCAGCTTTGGATGGCACTGCGAGAGTATCAAGCCCTGCCGCTGTTCACAGACATTACTGAATGTGCAAATGGGTTACTGATCAGTAGTGGGCTGATTGTTAGAGGGGCCATGGCTCGGTGGAAGAGCCTCTGCTTTGCATGCAGAAGGTCCCAGGTTCAGTCCCCGGCATCTCCAGCTAAAAGGAACCAGGCAGGAGATGATGTGAAAGACCTCAGCCTGAGACCCAGGAGAGCCACTGCCAGTCTGAGTAGACAATGCTGCCTTTGATGGACCAAGTGTCTGATTCAGTATAAGGCAGCTTCATGTGCGTGTTCACTTTCCCTTTTTTTAAAAAATGAAGGTTCGGAGCCTACTATATTTCACGTCATGTCTTACAATCTTGTAAGGCATCAAGGTGGGATTACAAACCAGCTGGCCCGTAGCTACGGTGGGGGCTATTTGGGGCTCCGGCCCCTTTCTTAAAGGGACAGCCCCACAAGATTTTTGCCTGACAATGCTTTTCTACTATATTTCACGTCATGTCTTACAATCTTGTAAGGCATCAAGGTGGGATTACAAACCAGCTGGCCCGTAGCTACGGTGGGGGCTATTTGGGGCTCCGGCCCCTTTCTTAAAGGGACAGCCCCACAAGATTTTTGCCTGACAATGCTTTCTAATTAGTTGCTGTAGATTTTCCGGGACGTGTGACCGTGGTCTTGGCACTGTAGAACCTGACGTTTCGCCAGTAACTGTGACTGGCATCCTCAGAGGTATAAACACAGAAAGATGGAGTACTCTCTGTGTCAAAGTTAAGAAGAAAATGGTAGGCTGTAAATTTATATCTACTCCAGATAAATTTACTCCAGTAAATTTACTGCCTCCCATTTTCTTCTCACCTTGACATGTGGGGTGTTTTGGGGGGTGTTTATGCAGCCCCGCCAGAAAAAATTTGCCCCAACGAGCTTCCATGGCAGAAATGGGATTTGAACCTGGATACGCCAGAGCTAAGTCAGTCACCCTAACCACTACACAACACTGGCTCACCTGTCATATTGTCCTTCCTGCACTCACCCTGAGAAAAGAAGGGGAAGTTCCGGTTTTGGATCTGCGCAATGAAAGCACAGAGTATTGACTGCATCATTGGCTCCTCGGAGAACGTACTGTGGATCCGGAGGGGGGAGGGCCATATCTGCAAAAATACACAAACAGCACCTGCGGAAGAAAAGTAATCAGA